TTTCGATTGGTGCGTTACATTTTGCTTAGATACATAAAACTCTAATTTCTTGGTTGTATCTCACCACGAAGTTCTGGAAATTATTCCAATCCGTTTACTTCTGAACACTAAACTTGTGGATATAATCTTGTTGACTACTAATACCTATAACAAAGTGTTTGACATTTTGTGACTTTTTAAAACTAACGCAAATATATAATTGTATATATTGTTGGATTTATATGTTCAAGTTGGCCCAAGTCAGTGAGTCTATGGTTTTGGTATCATTTTAGTTAACTGTGCTTAGCTGTATTACATGTTGTTGTATTGTAGCGTTGTTGTCGCTTTTTGTTCTTTTTGCTGTGAATTGTTTTCCTTTTGCTGGTGTTGTTCTGATTGTTTTATTCCTTGTTATCCAATTTTAAGGGGAGCAACCCAAAAGGTCGCTTCTCTCTAAACTTTATTTTAATGTAACAATTCCTTTCTCGGGCGTGAGGCTAGCAACCCCACCCTGTTAAAAACTTCAGCACGATGAATCTCTTTGCGCCAAAAAAGAAAAAGTCTGTGTGGAGACATGGAACGTCCACACCATGTACGAGATTGGCAAAGTTGCCCAGATCGCAAACGAAATGAAAAGATATGGAATCCAAGTGCTGGGAATATGTGAAAGCAGATGGAACGGGAATGGACTCACCAAATTGTCAACGGGTGAGTCAGTGATCTACTCCGGCCAACCAGAAGATAACACCACGCACACCGAGGGCGCGGCTATCATGATATCACCAACGGCAACAAAGGCGCTGATGCAATGGGAGGCGATCTCATCTAGGATAATGACCGCCAGATTCAACTCCAAAGGAAGGATAGTGTCAATTATGCAATGTTATGCACCCACAAACGACGGAGACCTCGAAAAGAAAGAAGAATTCTACAGACAACTACAGGCAACAATGGACAATACTCCAGCTGGCGACATGAAAATACTAATGGGAGACGTGAACGCCAAACTGGGACCAGACAACACAGGAAGGGAACTCATCATGGGTGGAGAAGCTCTTGGAGAAATGAATGAAAATGGAGAACTCTTCGCCGACTTCTGCGTCAGTAAAGGATGACAATGGAAAGTCAATCACCAAAGAGGTGGAGAAAAGAAAACACTGGGCTGAACACTTCAAAAGACATCCAAATCGACCGCCATCTACAACGTGCCCAACAATACCAACAACGGAAGCAGAACTACCAGTGAACATCGACCCCCCGACGAAATCAGAAGTCCTGAATGCCATCAAGATGCTAAAAGCTGGGAAAGCAGCAGGACCAGATGGAATCCCAACAGAAGCTTTGAAAATAGACCCAGAGACAACAGCGAACTTGATGACACCAGTACAGGAGAAGGTGCGGAAAGAGGGCAAAGTATCTAAGGATAGGAAGAAAGGCTACATATACAAACTACCAAAGAAAGGAAACTTAAGTCAATGCAAAAACTGACGCGGAATTATGCTCCTGTCCATCCCAAGCAAAATACTAAGCCGCATCTTCCTGGAGAGAATCAAACACGCCACCATGGATGAAAAACTTCCACCGGAACAGGCTGGATTCAGGAGAAAAAGTCATATCCTGTTTCGCAGTCTTTCCTAAAAGTCCTCGATTAAATTACTATGGTTTCCAGTGAGAGGATTGACGACTACTTACTAGGAAAGTGTGGATAGTAAAGCTAATTAAATCAAATAATATGAACTGAAAATCTATCCCTAACTGTAACCATGACCTTAATCCTAACCCTAGTCCTAACTGTTACTTTTTGACAATGAGGCACAGTATGCTAGAACTAACCTGAACTTAAATTATCTTAAAGGATTCTTAAAGAATTAATTTCATGTTAACACAACAGCGGACTCAATGACACCACTACTGGAGAAGGTGTGGAAAGAGGGCAAGGTACCCGAGGACTGGAAGAAAGGATACTTATCCAAACTGCCAAAGAAAGGAGATTTAAGTCAATGCAAGAATTGGCGCGGAATTATGCTTCTGTCCATCCCAAGCAGAATAGAAAGCCATATCATCCTAGAGAGAATCAAACACGCCAACCTGGATGAAAAGCTTCCACCGGAACTGGCTGGATTCAGGAGAAACAAGTCATATATTGATCAAATCGCCACGCTATGGATCACCATTGAGCAAAGCTTGGAATGGAAGTCACCTCTCCACCTCGCTCAACTTCATCGACTTTGAAAAGGCCTTCGACAGAGTTGATCGAGAAGTGATTTGGTGACTACTTCGCTACTACGAGGTCCCATCGAGAATTATACATCTCATCCAACAGTTATACGACAATCCTGCATGCCAAGTAATCCACAACGGGAAACTTATGGAAGCCTTTGAAGTGAGGACGGGAGTGAGGCAAGCTGGCTGTCTACTATCGCCAATGATCTTCCTGATTGCAGTAGACTGGATAATGCGACAGAAAACGGCAACCAACGAGGTGACAGGCATAAAATGGACTGACACAAAAAACACTTGGAGGATCTGGACTTCGCCAATGACATGTGTCTGATTTCCCACAAATTGGAAGATATGCAAGTGAAAAGCAACGAGTTGACAGAAGAAGCATCCAGAGAATATAGGACTTCAAGTGAACATAGATAAAACGGAGGTGATGAAGATTCTTGGCCAACACCATCAGCAACAACAACAACAGACAACAATCAGCCAGCATAAATGGGAGGAACCTGAAAGAAACTGCCTCCTTTACCCACCTGTGAAGCATCGTTTCAACTACAGGCGGAACTGACGAGGATACCAAAGCCAGAATCGGAAAAGCAAGACAAGCTTTCATTACTCTCAAATCTGTGTGGAGGTCAACAGCACTCCTTCGCATGAAAAATAAGATCCGTCCGGATTTTCAATTCCAATGTGAAGCCAGTCAGTGCCACTTACTATAGGGGCCAGAGACTTGGCGCGTCATGAAGAGCACCTCAAACAAACTACAGACCTTCATTAACAGTTGTCTTCGCTCAATACTCAAGATCACATGGCTGGCCAGAAAAGATCAGCAACAAGGAGGGATATCTGGCAATGAACGAACCTACCCACCAGGAACCGATTGTGCAACAAATAAGCAGGAAGAAATGGAGGTAGGTGGATTGGCCATACTCTGAGGAAACCATCAAGTGATGTCACCAGACAAGCCATTGCTCGAGTGGAACCCGAAAGGGAGGCGGCGAGTTGGTCGTCCAAGGGTGACTTGGAGGAGGTCATGTGAAGAGGGGATGAAAGCATGTGGACAGACCTGGAGCGGGGTGAAAAAGTTGTCAAAAAACCGAAGGCAATGGAGGTGCGTAGCTGAAGCCCTATATTCCTGTAGGAATTAAAGGATAAAATAATAATGAATGAATCTACTCAATACGTTCATTTCTGGAGGGTAGTTCATACACTTATTCTTCTTTATGAATATGAGTAAAGCAAATTAGAATATCAATACTTTTAGTAGAATAAGATGAAATCACTGTTTATTTCGTCTATATCTATCTCATCAACATCATACAACTAAAAGAGATTCTAATTAAGTATAAGTACAGAGAAATACTAACGTATTTGTAGATGTGAGATGATATCAGTTAAACAGGACATTCAAAAGTTAATAAACATTTCTCAAAGCTTACATTTTTATAATTTATGCACAGAAGGCTCAAGTTTAAACAAAACAAAGCCAGAAAATTAATGAATAAATGGATGCGATAGAAAAGCATTTTCCTAATAAAGACAGGTGGTGGATGAGACAATGAGTAATTAATAAATTGAGTAACATTGTAGTGAGTTTAACTCAAACTATAGCAACTGATGATAAGCATAATTAGATTACAGAGAAATAGGGGAAGTGGTTACAGTCTAACATTACGAAGTCAACTAAAAGACAAAGTGAAGACATTCAATTAGCACGGCAAGGTATGACTAATAACTGCTTCTTCCTGAAAACATAAATCGGGTTTCAAGCATTTGAGATAGCACAACCCCAACCAATGTCGTCCATGGGACATCCATCCTCACACGCGACATCTGAATCGACCTCACTGGTCAAGACTTCTCACTGGAACTACAGGAAACTCCATCCTGTAGGTTTTTACTGCAATTTAACTACGTGATAAAAATGCAGTTTAACATGGTTATGTTGTGGATTATTAGTTTAGACCTTTGACTTTCAACTAATACATCACAACTGAATTTTATTCCACCTAATAAGGTTTAAGATTTTTCACAAAAGTTTGATTGTCCTGATGTAATTTGTTTCAAATGTGACCACAGAGAACCATTTAAACTAGGGGGGGTACTGAACAACTGTTTCGTCCTATTTTGGGACTCTTTGGCAGTACGCATCTACCACTAGGGTTCGAACCCATGATCTCTCGGTTTAAGTAGTCAGAATATGTTATTAACTTCTACTTAACTGGATAAGTACACTCATATTGAATAATGACCACTTGAGTTTACATTCTTATTACGAATTATTATCCACTTCTAAACAAAATATACTTCTTTCTTAAGGATGTAGTAAAATACTAGCGGAGAAACAGCACATACAACAATACAGTGTATTCATGCTATCTATTCATGCTATATATACATATATATATATATATATATATATATATATATATATATATATGTGATTCACTTCACATATTCGAATAACGGTGGCTAACATTATTTGTATGTCAATTCTCACACATATTTGATCAGTTATCTTTGGTCTGATATGCGAAAACGAAGTAGGTTACCAATTTTGGCAAGCGTAACCTTTTGCATTATCAAAAAGAGGTGAGACATCAATATCATCTTCGATTAATTAAACGAACCAATCAACTAACAGTCTATGTATGTCAATCATTAACGTCTTTAGTATAACCTTGTCCATTCTCTTATTTGATTGGCTGAAATTATCATACATGTCTATCTAACGACCTTCGGCCTATATACAATGGCAGACGAAGCATTTTTCAAACATGAAAACATGACCCTTTCACATGGATGAATCTAAGGTAACGGATGATTGTGCTGCTGTCGCAGTTCCCGACTTAGGAAAAATCAAACCACGACATTATCGTCAATTTTCAGATGTAACTAATTCAAGCAATACAGATAATACATATTCAGCTACAAGCAAATCTACTATGCCATTTTGTCGGCGTTGTTGCCTCTGCTGTAGACAGACAATGTGGTCGCATAAATTTTGGATGGGATTTACAGCATCCACATGGGGTTTTTTGTCAAGTGTTGAACGTGCTGTAATATTACCAACACTTTTTCTTTATTTGAAAGAATATTGGGGTGCAGAGATTGCTAATACTCATTATGGAGTTACTGTTGCAGCGTTCAGCTTGTCCATCCTGATAATGACGCCTATCTATGGTCTTGCTGCTTATTCTGGTGTTCGTGTAAAAACACTTTTGTTAGCTGCTAATTTTTTGGAAATTATTGGAAATCTTATTTACCTATTTGCTCCAGTTCCTTCAGCAATTATCCTAGGAAGACTGATCTCTGGTATTGGAGCGAGTTGTGAACCTCCATTATATGCGGATATTGTAAGAGCAACAAATCGTGATGAACGTACTGCATACATTATTGTATTATTGCTTACACGTCAGATTGGTCTCATTTTTGGTCCTTCTTTCACATTATTGATGGCAAAAATGAACTATCGTGTAGCAAACTTTACACTGAATGTTTACAATGGACCTGGATTATTAATGGCAATTTTATGGTTCCTACATTCATTTATCATATTGTTCTCGTATCCAAATGTTGATAAAAATGGTCGAGTCATTTATACTGATGGTCAAAGATGGTCATGTTGTAATCGGGAAGCTTGGATACATACTAATGAACAGGCGAAAGAAGATTCCCGACCTATGCTGAGTGATTCAACAGATTCCTTATCCTCTGGTCGATTTAATACCGCTGTGTTGAGTAATACTCTACGACCGTATTTATCGTTTAATATTATAGCATTGTATTGTGTTAATTTTGCGGCCTACTTCAGTTTTATGGGTTTAGAAGCAGCTCTACCACCAGTAGCAAATCGGATATTTAATTGGACTGAAGTGGAAACTAGTTATGTATATTTAGCTGCAAGTATTTTGATTATATTTGTAGTAATAATATTACGTATTCTTAACCAGTATTATACTGATCGTGTTCTCCTATTAGCCGGTCTTATTATTATGGTAATTTCTTATCTTTGGTTAACTATTGTAGTGCATATACTGCCTAATATTCCTGTTAGTGTAGGCATTCCTTTAACACTAACTGGCATAGCTATTCATGTGATTGGACTTCCATTTGCTTTTGCTTATTCTGAATCATTGTATACAAAACTTGCTCCTGTCTCTGATATGGATCGAGCTCAATCCATCTTTCGCACAGTTGTAAATGTTGCCTTCCTAATTGGACCTTATGTTGGTGGCTCACTAATTGGTTATCCTACTGTCGTATTCTTTTGTATGTTTTTATCCTCTATATTTCCAACACTATTGGTTAGTTTTCGATTTAAAGACTTTATTGTTATCGATCGGCCTAATTCACCAGGTGATTTGGAAATTGCCAAGGAGTGCTGAGGAGAAGCGAAAAACAAAAAAAACCCCCGCACTAGTAGGCTCATACTCTGTGCATATGAGCAATCTAGTCATCACAAGTAAAAAAAATAGAAGAGAGAAAATTTGTCGTCTTTCGTTTCCAATCATCACCTTCCCCGTGTCTTGTTATTCATCAAATGAACAAGCAAATTGAACAATTCACCCTCCACCGGAACTTGCCTCCACCGCCTCTTCTTCCTCCTGCTCCCGTCCTCCACCTCGCCCATTATTTTATCCTCATAATTCATTCAAGTTTGTTTTACACCCTATTCGATTGTAAATCATCACGGTTTTTACTAATATTCATTATTTCTCAAAAGAAAAGGAGAGATTTTATCCCCCCCTATGGTTTGTTTTTTCTCTGCGGTAAACTATTTATTTTCTATGTTTAATTGATTTGCACTCCACACACATATTGATTTTATTTGTAAATATATATATTATACTATATTTGTTTTGTTTCGCTGTTTCATTGTTGTTTTTTTTACTTTGTGCTTTAGATGTTTATTTGTATTGGATAAATATTATGCTCATTCGTTTAAATAGCTCTTTGTGTGACTGCGTCGCTCTTTAAGTTTAAAATACCACCTAAAGATAATTACAGATTTGCTTTATAGTTTTTACTACTGGCTTACAGCCATGTGGCTGATTATTGATTACCTGAGTTTTACAACACTTCGCCAAAGCTCAGATCAAGGTAGATGTTTGTCTTAATAGATCACTTCTCGAACCTTAGGCTTGAAGTTTTAACCACAAAGCAGAGGAGCTCTGTGTCCTTATTACGGCTAGTAGTCGGGATAAGTTCGTGGGCTATCTGACCTTTTCGGAATCTTTCACCTCTTTTCGAATCAGGGTTTATCAGCTTCTCTGTGTGTGGATGTACATGTCCACCAGTTCGATAATAAGATGGTAAAGTTCAACAATACCGTCCCGAAGGGATGCAAACGCGTGAGTGATCTTTAGCCGACACAGAATGACGTATACTTATATGAAAGTGCATGAAAACACATTAACATGGGGTATCTTTTTCTGACATGACTGTAGAATACGTTCAAGTTATATTGAGGAGCATCAGTTGCGCTAAGTTAGACTAGTTTCTGTACATGTGTATTCACCGAGGTGACTAAAGTTGAGGTGTTTTTGTGAATTGTTTATCTCTCTTATCCTGTTATGCAGTCTTCTCCAAAGCACTCGGTAGAATTACTTTTGTTTTCAGTAAGGGGGATTGACGACTACTTATCGGGAAAATGTGGATAATAAAACAAATTACAATAAATGACATCAACTCTAAATCCATCCCTAATCGTGACCGTAACCCTAACCTTAATCCTAACCCTAATTACAACCCTTATCCTAACCGTAAACCTAACCTTATTGCTAATTAAGACCCTGATCCTAACCCTAACACTTTACTTCGGCTATCTCCTACGGGAGGATGAGCCGGCTTCATGTACGTCTGGAATCATCGCTGCCCAGGTGCGGCAATTTGTAAGAGAGTTCATGAAGTTTCATGGGAATTTGGTACGAGTGATGTCCCCAGCATCGCTCGGCCTTTTGTTTGAGAGTGCAGCTCTAGCCTTTACACAGCCAAGTGTGACCTACAAGGCAGTAGGAGTGGAGTAAGGAGTCCACTATCCATTGGCAGCCGGTGACCGGAGTTCGGTTCATACGCCTTTTTGAATGGGGCCAGACATCCAGGACATCCAACAAGCCCTTTGTCCATACGTCTGCCGGTGAGCTCCAGTGAGCTTCATACGCCAGTCGTTGGAGGTTTGGAATCAGGGTTTAGCCATCTCCCCTAGACCGTCATCCAATGGACAGTCAACCCGGTGGAGAGCGCCGGGCATCCGCTTTCGCCCTCTTACTTTGGTGAGAAACACCTCCGCCACGTGAAGGCAGTGAGTAGGACTTCCTCAGGAGAGGCTATGTAAGACGCCCGGTCATATGGGAGCATTTCAAGAGGTGTGCGGAGGGGTGGCCAACCCGCAGCGCAAGGCACCCACCCCCGACCATCCTGAGCTTTGGAGGCAACCCTAACCCCAGTACTTACCTTAACCCTAATCGTAGTCGTGACGAGCTATTAACACATTGTCGAAACAGTACCTAAGAATGTCATCTGAGTGAAATTTGCTGCTTAGTTAGCGGCGAAAAGCATTGATATTTCAGCAGTGATAATGACAGGTGCCGTCAGCCAACGACTAGCATGCTAGGTTCAAGGTCATGCGTTCGCACTCTTGGGACGTTATTGTTGTTGTTGTACACCGTTAACTCCAACCTTCTACCTTCTATCCATGAGGTAATCCCTAAACCACTCACATAGGCATTGGTCTCGTCCGAAACCTTTAAGTTTACTAAGGAGACCTAAGTGGGATACCTTATCGAATGCTTTACTAAGATGGATAAGTACAACGTCCAGTAGATGGTTTTTATCCCTGGCCTCGACCCAATCTTCTCTAGCTAACAGTAAGTTTGTCAAGCAGGATCGTCCTGGTCGGAATCCATGCTGTTCCACTGCCAGTAAGCCGTTTTTCCATATGAACTAAGAGCTGATCCCTCATGAGTTTTTCTAACACCTTTGCTTTAATGCAGACTTATCGGCCGGTAGTTAGATACCAATTGCTTGTCCCCCTCTTTGAGGATAGGGCTTATAATGGCATCCTTCCAGTCCCTGGGTAGCTTAGAGTGGGTCAGAGACATTTTGAAAATCTCCGTAAGTGGAATATATATATTATATCCGCCAAGGAAATTAACAGTTTAGGGTGAAGTCCATCGGGCCCAGGTGATTTACCTGGCTTCAGTTTAGACAGTAGTCCTTCTAGGTGAAGACGCTGACAAAATGTAGAGTTTTCTGAACTCCTTGAGCTGCAATCTACGAATGTTTGGCATGCGATTCGCTCCCTACAAATGCAACATGATGTTGCAGGACTGGACTGCACTGACTCCTAGTTTAGAAATAGGGAGTGAAGTGGCAGAGCACGTTAACCACTTCGCTTATTTGGAAAGTTGTATCAGCCAGCGCGGATACAGAAAGCCTGTTTCGCATTTACCAATTTACGCCATCTCTGGCATAGACGTAATATCCCGCTGGCTGTCGACCCAAGGACGTATATACACCTCCGCAGGCCGTCCCATCCTTCTCTATGGCTGTCGGTGAGACATGGCCATTAAAATCGGAAGACATGAAAACGCCGGCTGAGTTAAGCATTATTGAGGTTAGGCGTGAGTCAAGTCTGTCTGTCTGTTTTCGACATAGAACTTTGCACAAATGTGCGGCAGTCCAAGTCGCCACACTCCATGTAGCACACAAAGCAAGAGAAGAAAGTACAAGAAAAGCATAATAGAGACAGTAAGCAAAGGCGTGAGACAAAGGAGGAGTAATAACGAAGAACAAAACAGTTTCATTGGAAATCATAAGTCACAAGGAGTGGATGCATCTGCGCTAGCCATTGAGAACGATTTTGAGCCATGTCACCAATTGTTTCCAACCATTAATTTTTACCGTCCCGAGGACCCCAACCAGGAAGTCTACACCTTCTTACGTGGCATAGACCAACTGTTGTGGATTTCATTGACTGTTGCCAAGTTTTTGTTTGACCACCGCTAGCTTTTTTCCAACCTGACCCTATATCCGCTAACATTGCTCGTCGAGGGAGGCGACGGCTTGGCATACGTAACACATGTCCTAACCATCTCAGTCTTTGTAGCTTCACAACTTCGTCGATTGATTTCCCCTGTTTACCTAGAACTCTACGCCTAACCTCAATATTGCTCACCTTATTATGCCACTTTACACGGGAGATAGAACGCAGGCACCTATGATCAAAGACAACTAATCTTCTCATGTCTTCCACTCTCAGTGGCCAGGTCTGACAGCCATAAAGGAGGACGGAGCGGACTGATGAGCAGTACACCCACCCTTTGGTCGATAGTCGAACATCTCGTCTACGCCAGAGTCGGCGTAAACTGGCAAATGCGAAACGAGCCCCCTGTATTCGTGCTGAGATTTCGTCAGAGATCAACCTGTTGGCACTGGCTGATGGTACTTCCCAAATAAGTGAAGCGGTCAACGTGCTCTACCACTTCACTTCCTATTTTTAAACTAGGCGTCGATGTAGTCCAGTCCTGTAACATCATCTTGCATTTGGCGGGAGCGAATCGCATGCCAAACATTCGTAGATTGCAGCTCGAGGCGTTTAGAAGACTCTGCATTTTGTCAGAGTCGTTGCCTAGAAGGACTATATCGTCTGCATATTCTAAGTCAACGAGATTATTTCCTGGTGGTAGCAAGTTAATCCCTGTGTCGCTGAAGTTAGTTACGGTTAAGTCCATTAATACATCTATGATGACGTTGAATAGAAAGGGGGATAATGGGCATCCTTGACGGACACCGCTAGTCGTCACCACTTCAGATGACAGCTCGCCGTAAGCCCTCACCTGGCTGTATGAGTACAAGTAGAGTGCCTTAATCAGTGCAATGTATTTTCTCGGCATTCCCTCTACAGCCAAGCATCTCCAGAGAACTTCTCGGTCGACAGAGTCGAATTCCGCCTTTAGGTCAAGAAATATAATGACTGTTGGACGCCGGTAGGAATTCCCATGTTCTAGAATCTGTCGGAGGGTGAAGATACGATCAATACACCCTCTTCCTGGTCTAAAGCCTGCCTGGCTCTCTCGTGTTTGTGCCTCCCGAGCACCACTCAGTCTACGCATGATTATTGAGCCTAAGACTTTAGATACTATATTAGTCAAGCTAATCCCTCTGTGATTATCACAGGAAGACTTGTCTCCCTTCTTGTATATGGGGATAATCAGTGACTTACACCAACCCGATGGGACTTCTTCTGATTCCCAGACGCTGCCTAGTACCTCAGTTAATGCAGACAGTAAGCTGTCTCCACCGTACTTAAATACCTCTGGAGTCATTCCATCAGGTCCCGCTGCTTTGCCTAGTTTCAGATTGGTGACAGCTTTAGTAACCTCAG